GAAGAGGTGCTTATGCTGAGGAGAGATCTTGACCAACCTTGGCCTTCATCTTTTGGGTTGCTGGAGAATACTGCATTTAGGGGTTAATGACCTTATCTTCTCGCAAAATGGGATCTTAAGTTGAATTTTCTTTTAGCCTCTTTTGGGCTTAGGGTCATGCTATTATAGGGCAAAGTCAAAGTCATCGTTGGTGGACATCTCTGCAAGAATAAGCTAATAGTTAGATAAAAATCAAGTTAAAATAAAATTCTACAAGATTACATTAAACCTACCACAGTACTTCGTCTCATTTATTGCTTCAGAGAGAGGTCAGCCAATGGGCATCAATAACGAGCTCCCTCTATGGGTTTACTCTATTATTTTATCATGAGCTGATAAATCCAAAATGAAAAAAGCCACAAGTGCATCTATAAAAACATTGAGCACATTTAATATTTCCTACGCCTTAACCTTGGCAACACCCTCAACCTCAATCATACTATCTTTATTTATTTTTTATTTTTTAAGATAAAGGAAGAGCAGTTTTCAATTCTTTATTGAGCTCAAACAATCAATGAATAATTTTTTATTGGGTCAAGTTGTTACATAATACCACCTCTTATCACCGGGGTACATTTCAATAGAAAAAATTTCCTAAATAGAGGGAGAGAAGGAAGAATGTTTAGATATTGACAAAGAATTATGAAAGTAACTATGTACCGTACAAAGTTAGGAGTGAGCTAAGTGATAGTCAAATTGTAAGAATTAAAAATTGAAACAAACAAATAATAAAGTGAAAACCCCAGAGCGGCCATAAAGGAATCCCAATATACATAGAGCCGATGTGGCTCCAGTTTATCACTAACCCTGATCTGAGGAGTTTGACATTATTATACTGCACCTCTCTATGGGAAAAAGAAAGATTATCGCCAGATCACGGACGTGATGAGTTGAATACATGTTAAGACAGTCTTCAAGATTTGCCCTATCTTTTAGTTTGCTCATCACATTCTTTGGGATCATACTGAAGTCATAGGGAGTATATACAAGAACCTTGGCCAGTTCGTCCTGCACCACAGCATTCCACTCTTCGCTATCACTTTCCCCAACCAAGGTACTCCTTTCCTCCTGTTCCTACCGGAAACCCTCCTCATCGCCAAAATCTTCATTGCTAGAAGACTTTAGCTCCTGAATAGGAGCAGGATTCTAAGATTAAACTATGGCTTGAAGCAACTTAACTCTAAGGAAAGAAAGATAGGGGGAGACCTTCGGAAGAGGAAGTGATTTCAACAAGAACTGACCGAGGGGGAATAAAAGTGACGACGGAAGCATCGATAGGAGAAAGAGCAAAAGTAGAAGAAAATTGATAAGACTGAACCCTAAAAAGGGAATAGCCAAAAATGAAGGAAAGTCAGGCATAAAAGATAGACCAACCTGAGAAATGGGGAAAGATAATGGATTTTGTAAGTCAAAGTCTATCTGAACACATAGTTCCTCTATACTCAGGACCCGTTCTCCTCTTGTCCAAGCCTTTTCTTTATTTTGTTGCTACCTTTCTTTGGATATTGGGTTAAACTAGAAAGCCATTTTCTCACAATTAAAGTCCCTGATGAATGGTGAAATCAGATCATCGTCATCTTGCCTGAGTTGACATCTCTTAGGTTATACGCTGAAACTCTCAGGCTCTTCAAAACTTATACTAGAAGATATAGTTAAAAATACGTATCAATGAAAGTAGAGAAAAACTTTAAGGCCAGAAAGCTTTTGAGATCAAAAAATTCAGATTGGACTAAGAACTAAAAAAGTAAAAAGGTCAAAAATGAAAGCCCCAACCGCCTTTTATATAGCCACACCACAGATCAAATGAATGGCATAGACTACACCATGTGTCAGAGCGAAGATAGGAAGACATCTTTTTGTCTTCCCTCTTTAAATTTTTTTCCTCAAACTACCTCTCTCCTCATTTAATGCCGTCAGATCAGCCAAATTAGATGAATCTCAGGTCAGACCGATCAGATCGGATAACTCTCCAGGATAAACCAAATGTTTAGTTCATCATCAGAGTTCAAAGTAAAGACTCAAATCCAAACTGATATAAAACACAAGTCTCATGTCGACTAGATGAACTCTAACATTAACCTCGAACCATTCTAAAAATTATCACATCGGTAACCTTCAAGTTGACTGGGCACTCAACCTAAGACATACATGTAAAATCAGACAACCACAAGGTCAGACCACGACTAAAAGCTAGTTGTCCCCTAATACCAACCCCCCTCTATGACGTCGGTTTCGAAGAATCGAATTTCATGTCATTCTCTTTTGCCTACATGCCTTACATTTCGGGTGCGTCAATCATACATCCAACAGTCAGATACTCAGACTGCTTAGTGGAAGGACAGAGTGTTAGGGGCATTTGGTGGTCAAAAAGGTATAGTGATCTTTTTCCATATTAAAAGCCTTCGACAGATAATCAAGGATAATTCTATCATTTATGTTGACCTGATATGTCAAGTTGGTCAGACACATTTAGTGCCACTTCTGCTTAGCACTGTCTTTGTTGTCCCTTAACAATCCCTCATTGCTTATCTATAAATATAAAGGTCTAGACACCATCAAGACAAGTCCATACTACTCTTATTTTTCTTTATTACTCTCTTTTTGATCTCACATGTTTTGACTTGCGCGTTGAAGTTCAAACGTAGAGAATACTCTCTGACTTTATCTCTGATCACCCTACTCTTCTATCTTTCCAAAATCTGACCCTGAGATTGGAACTCAGCACAAACACCAATATTACATTTGTTTTACATTATTATGGCGTGAGTACTTCTCCTTCTTGACCAAATGGTGGGGAAGTAATCGATTGTAAGAGATCTAGCCAATTGTTGTAACTCGAACAAGACAACCCACCCGAAACCAGACCCTATTGCACCTGAAGTCCCTTGTTATTGGAGTTCCTTCCAGCAAAAGCCATGGCGCCCACGTTAAGATTCTTCCTCTCTATCCTTGTCTTCGCAGTCTCCCCATTTCTGCCCAGCAACTCTGGCCACGAGTTCTCTGCAAAATTTCATTCCATTTAAAATTAGGAGTCGTTTTCAGTTTGTCACCAATCAAATTTAAACCGAAACACAAAGCAAAAACAAAACAATGAAAAATAAAGGCAACCATAAACTTGATTAGCCTTACCTGGACACAGTTACCTATTGCTTTCCCTCTCTCCGTTCCGGGGCTGATTGATTGCAGAGTGAGTTTCTACTAGTATCAGCCAAAGTACATAAACACATGGATTTATGTGACAAAAGCAGAGTATGAACAATAGAGCAGAGGGTCACAGCCGATATCTTTGACTGCTCATAAACAGCTCGGCAGGCCATTCTTGAATGGTGAGGTCGTGCATGGTGCTTGATTTCGGGTTGGCATGGCAAGTTCTTATCCATTTGCATGTTTCACAAAATAATTGAACTGTCCATATTAAATTAATCAAAGCTAAATCCGCCCTAAAGCAATCCAAAAACTTTATGGCTAAGGCCTAAGGTATCCAATTTGAGTAGCTAAATTCAAACTTGATGTGCGCAATTTTTTTATTCAAATAGTCTAAATTTGAATTTTAATCATTAAAATTAAAATTTTAGCATTTTATAAATAAATTGTACAATTTTTGACCGTCTATATATATATATATATATATATATGTATATTTTTATCTGTGTTTCTCGGTAAGATGCTAGAGATCAAAAATCAAAGCTTCGTATATCATATCCAAAGTCAAAGGTTTTAGTTTTTCAAAGTCAAAACTTCAATCAAAGTTGTTGGCCATTCAAAAAAACGCAAATTTTTTTTTTTTAAATCCTCTCCCAAATTCAACGCTCAATTTGCATGTCTCCCAGCCATCTATAAATTCCCTTCCCCTGGATTTGCTTTAGGACCTCAAATCACAGAACAAAGGAAAGCTAAGAAATGTCAGACTGCAGTGGTAAGCCTTTTTGTTTTTTTTTGGCTTAATTTTAGCCAAAACAAATCTTGGGTTAAGTCTTATTTTCTCATAATTCTTCATTTTGTTGTTTAGATACAGGGAAGAGTTCGTGGCCAGAGCTGGTGGGAATAAATGGAGAAGTGGCGGCAGCCATCATCGCAAAAGAAAATCCAAAAGTAGGCGTTGCAATTGTGAAAGAGGGAATGATGGTGACCATGGATTTTCGTTGTGATAGGGTGCGTGTCTGGGTCGACAAGTATGGAATTGTGAAGCTCACGCCTCAAATTGGATAGCTACTACTCTTCCCAAGGATCCATGGAAAACATTAAAAAATGTTTAATTTGTGAAAATTAATGAAATTTTTTTAATAACAAAGGAGTTTACCATTGATTGTTTTGAGCGTATCAGTATAATAATAAGTGTAAAATAAATTGATGATGATTTATAACATGTAGTTTCTAATTATCAATGAATATTTGGTTTAAATTTTATACATAGGCTTTGATTTTCACTTATGGACATTTTTTTTCTAACAAAGTTGATAGCATAAAGTGTGATAAATGCATAGTCGTCTATCTTTTTATTCAGAAAATTGGATTAAAAAAAATATAAATTCCCTTTATGTTTTTCAGGAAACTGGGCAAGGCAGAGCCCCATAGGAAATGCTAAAACAGGCAAAATGAAATAAGTATGTTCTCTTAGCTAAGCTAATCTTTCTCAGAAAAACACAAACGGTTTGCACCAAGTGACTGAAAAATAATAAGCTCCTTCAGGCTTCAACTATTTTTATATTGGGATCTTCTGAATTTACAATTGAAAGTGGGATTGGCTACCAAGATGTGTGAACAAACGTCAAAAAGAATTGGAAGTAGTAAATAAGACTAAAAAAATCACCCACTTTACAACCTAGTCGTACAGTGCTCAAAAAATAGCACAAATGCAATCCCTGCCAACCAATAAAAAAAAAAAAAAAAAGAAACCCAGCAAGAGAAAAAATGAACAAGGAATTAATTACTTTTACAGTTTTACTCCCATACCTGATCACATCAAGTAGTGCCTAGTATGTAAAACCTGATCTTGATAATTCACAATTTCTTGGTAAGCTGATAGATATTAGTTTTGACTCCTGCAACTTTTGAATCAAACTTCATGCTGATATACTTTATTTCTGCCTCCGGTCAGTTACCCTCAATCTGGGATGTATCTGAAGTATATACATGTAGTGCACGATGAGTATAGGACTAAAAGAAATTTTGATAAATGCCAAAGAATACAGGAGTTCAACAGCTTGAGAATGGAGAATGTGATCAAAACTAGAAGTTCACTTATGTTAACATCAATGACGTGCAGAATCTCAGAAGAACAGATTTGGCAAATATTGTGAACATCTGAAGCACAATCAGACATGATAATACAAACCCTAGTTTCTTAGGGATGGTAAATCAGATACAGATACAGTCACTTCCAGTTATCCATCAGATGCCTAATTTCACTGCTTCCTATTTTCTATTCTTAATCCCACAAAAATCACATTCCACATATTTGGCATTATTCTTTGTTAACCTGATTATACATGCAGATCCATGACCATACAGCACTTGTTCTTACAGAAGCAAAAAGAAATAATCAGCTTGAGGTGGTAGCAATTTACATGAAACTAAATAAACATACAGCATCTTTAATTCATCGAGAGACATAATAGCAATTTCCACCAACAGTCAGTCAAAGACATGCAACAAGCTTATGCTGGGTGTGCAGGAACTCCACCAAGAAGAAACTGTTTTTGGGAGAGACATTTATATGTTAATATGTCAACAAAAAGAATTAATTTTAATTGGACCTATATCTTTAGCATGCTTACCTTGTGATGATACACATAAAGCTCATGAAACAGACATGTTTCTACTCCTTATCCCAAGTTCCCTCAATTCTCGTAACTGATGAAGTATCTCTTCAATAAAAAGCATCCCCTCATTTCCATTTTGAAGGGAATTTAGAGAATGCTTAAGAAAATTATAGTCAGCCTCAAGTGCTTCCAACCTCTCATTAAGGTCTGAAATTTCATTTTGAAGACCAGCCAAACCAGTTTCTCCACAATCCTCAGAACCATTCTGCCCATTTGAAACCATAAGACCATTTCCCTCACTAACACCTTGAGCTCTTGTTATTGAAGTATTCAACCATTCTTGAGAAGAAGCACTTCCATTAGATACTGATGAAACTTTCTGCACTGGTAAATCATTACCTTCAACCTGACAAATTACTTGTTTATCCTTTTCATCAAGGAACTCTTGCTGATGTTGGCCTCCATCCGCTGCTTTATCAAAGTATTCCCCATCAGAAATGTATGGCGAAGTCCCATGATGAGCAAACCTATTAAGTTTCCTCTCCAAAATTTGCAGACATTCAGAGATGTACAACTTCTCATCTTCAAATTCTGACCATGCAGATATGACTATAGGATTATCATTGAGTTTAGAAGTCTCAGGGAACATTGTTTTCAATGAAAATTTTAGATCATCTTTTATGGAGGATGTACTTGTATTCTCCACAGAAACATGTTCCTTCTTCAAGTTGATGCTTGCCTCAGGTACATTCTCTATCAGTGTTTCATCTGTGAAGTTTAGTCTGTAATATTCAAGCTCTGCTTCCAGATCTTGTAGTTCTTTCTCCTTTTCAGCCAGAAGATCATTAGCTTTCTCCAAGGCATCTACATCGTACTCCGCTTGCTCTTCCATCATTCTTAGGTACTGCAGGGCCTCCATGTGGAGAGCTGCCTTCTCTTCTTGCAACCTTGTAATCATAGCCATTGCCTGATTTGCAGCTATTGCAGAAGCACTTCTTTCTTCCTCTAATTCCTTATATAATGCATTCATGCACTTCCGATCATACTCAACTTGCCGCTTCAGCCTATCAACTAGATTTTCACTTTCAGTTTCATTGACACTGATGCCGTCCAAAGATTCAAGGCCAGCAGATTCACTTCTTTCCATAAAGACTAGGTTCTGAAGATTCTGAAACTCATCAGAGTTGGATTCATTATTTCTCTGCAATTCAACATTATGACCTTGTAACTTAGGACTTAAATTGTTCGATGATAAATGAATCCCTTGTCCAGAAGAATTCTGCACTGGCAATGACTTAGGATCTTCATTAACTCTATTATTGCATTTCAGAATAGGCTGTTTTGTAACAAACACAGATGCACCTTTTTCTTCACCACAGACAGGTGACTTATGCAGAGCACTGAGATCCTCATCAGTTGAATTCACCACGGCAGTATCATCTACAGCTTCATCAGTTTTGAAACCAACTCCAGTTGATGTGCTTATCAACTTCAAGATTTCATAATTCTTGTTGATGGAAATATTTTCATTTTTACTTGTTTCAATAACATCTGCCACTACAAGTTTCAGTTATTGTCATATAAGATAAGACCTACACACATACAAAGCCGCTGGGGGGGGGGGAGAGAGAGAGAGAGAGAGAACTTACACTTTTCTGACGATGTTTCAAGAGCAACTTCCGTAACATCAATTTTAGGGGGAGTATCAACTAGAGAAATAAGATCAGACAGTAACGAAGCACTGAAGCTTGGAACTTCCACAAAACAGGATGATGGAGGAATATCATCTAGAGAAATAAGCTCAGGTAGTACAGAAGGATTGGTTTTCTGATCAGCCAGCTGCTCTTTATGCTCACAAACATCATTCTCGCTGGGGACATCTGGATCCGAACATGTAACATTACAAGGTTCATTAGCATCTGGCTGTTTTGTTGTAGCCAAATTGTTGCACAGTCTTTTAGGTGGAGTTTCAGGAGCACAGTGAACTAAAGATTCTTTCTTATTCTCATTCATATCACTAACTATACTATCGTTATCCTCATCATCAGAAAATGGAACCTCAGACTCTGATTCAGAAGTGATCTTCAGCTCAGTGTATCCTACATGAGACAAGGGATCAAATCCAGTTTTTCCAACAAGATGGGTTGCTGCTGGTGCAGAAAACTTATCCCTTATCTTCTTCAAACCATTTTGATGGCTTAAGCGATGTGATAAAGGAATGTTTGGATTCGCAAGTGCAATGCCAGTTGATTTTAGGGGAAGAAATCTTTGGGCATTTGGTCTTGGAATCCAAGGTTTATTACAACATAGACACAAGCTAGTGCATTTAGAAGGAGTAAGATCCATGTTGAAAAATGAGCTCTGGAAACCACAATTTCCAAAACCTGCAGGATCAAACCCCAATTTTCCTACAAAGGGCCTCTGCGTATCTGAGTTGGATTTGTTTTCCTCAATGTGTGATGAGAGACAATTCTCACACATACCACGACCATCAACAAGCTTGCCATGAATGTTGCAGGAAATCAACAATGAAATCTCTGACCTATGATTGCTGCAAAGTAGATTCCAATAAAATCCAGGTTTTTCATTTCCAAAAACATGATCAAGCCGAGAGCATAAAATGCACGGTATTTGCAGTTCACAGTAACGTGCAAATCTTGTCAGCAGGTAAGATAAGGCAGCATCAATAAACAGCAGAAAGATCAGAAACCATTCACAAGCAGCAGACTTTAGGACTGTTGAAAACCCCTTCAAATTCCTTTGTACTTTGGAAGGTAAAGCACCGTTTGTAGCCATTTCCATGACAACTGCTCTAGGATACCATACGGTTCAGAACTGGATGAATACCAAAAAGCCTTAATTGATGCATAAAGTAGTTCCTAACGTTGCAAGACAAAGCTGAGAATCCCATTCCCAATTCAATGAGGCAAGCTTCTATTAGACAATAAAAGAAACAATCAATCAAGTCAGCAATGGCCCACATGAAAATAAAAAAATGCAGAGCTAAGCAAACTTTCTAAGCTACTAAAATTGAAAAAAAAAAAAACCACATGTGCGTACTCAAACACACGAAGACCATCACCAAGACGGTTATCTATTTGATTCATTTGACACGAACAAAGATAACTATAACAAACAGAACACATTCTAAATATTTAAGAATTTGCAACCAGAGAAAACCCTCTTGGACAATAGCAATTAAGTGAAATTCTTAAAATCCTTTAAAGGGTTAAAAAAATATTTAATGAAGAAATAGAAAATGTGAATTTCTTGATAACAAATAATTAAAGAGGACATGTTGACAGTATAGATTGAATCAGATAAGAACTTCAACCAACCCAACTGTGCAGTGTAATGCTTGGGATCAACCAACTATGACAGTTTTCAATTAAATTGCTAAGACCTAACCAATTAATGCATTAAAAGAAACCCAAATGAAATGAAAGAAAACCCATTTATCAGATCCATTGACACAGCCAAAACAAGACCTTGAAAAGCTTTATAATCCATCACCCAACATTAAGAAGAACTCTCAAATGCAATTCCAAATATTGTTCATGTTGAAAGCTTGAATTCAATACAAAAAAACATATACATGCATTTTGATTAAAAGAAGATTATATGAAAAAGAGTACCTTACGGTGAATTGAGATGAACAATTATGAAGAAGAGGAAGTAAAGGAAGAAGAAAAAAGGAGGAAATGGAAAATACTTTTGTCCGGGAAAAGGACTGACCGTTGAAACCAACTGTTGTGATTTGTTTGGTTGCCAAATAAAGGAGAGCTTCAAAATCTTACCTCTTGGTTTGTCTATAATAAGCTTCCGCCCAATCATACAAAACCAAAACTCTTTGCTTCTTTTCAATTTTTGCCCTTTCCTTTTACTATTTTGCAATCGAAGGTTTTATAGAGATACCATATAATTTTAATATCAAATTAGAAAAATGCCCGCACATTGCTATAAATAAACAATTTTTTATTTTGTTATTTCTATTTCACCGTATTTTTTTTATAAAAATTTATCAAGAAAGACAAAAATAAAAGAAAATGATATGTTGATATTTTAATTGATTTTTTTCATAAAAAAAGAAAAGAAAATAATTGAAAAATAAAGAAAATGAAAAAAAAAATCTCAAAAAAAGTTCTACAATGACATTCCATATTATGTTTAAAATATTAATTTTTTAAATTAAATAAAAAATAATTTTATTAATATAATATATATGTATAAAATTAAATAAATACTAAAATACATATTTTATATAAACCATGAAATGAGTAAAGGTAAATTATTTTTAAATATGCTTCAAACCTGAAGTTATTTAAAAAAAAAAAAAACTCGATCAAAATTAAGTTAATTTTAATTTAAAAAAGCATCACTTATCAAATTAAGATAAATAAAAACTTGTCAAATATCAATTATTTTTATATCCTTATCAATTGACACATTTGGTTATAAAATTTATGCAATTCAAAATTTTAAAAATACGAGACGAAAAAAATCAGAGTGCTACATCAACACTTTCTTTGATTTTTTTCACAAAATTACTTTAATAAAAAAGATAAAAACAAAAAACAAAAACACGGTACTTCCTCTTGAAAAAGGTTTTTTAACTTAAAAAAAAAAAAGAAAAAGAAAGTAAATCACACCAAAAAAATTGAAATCTAAAAAATATTTATTAAATATATAAAAATAATAAAATAAATAAGTGTCATACTCTTAATATCAAATAGATCTCATACAAAAATAATTAAATATAAAAAATATTTTTAAAAAATTTTAAAAGTACATCTAATACAAAAAAATTTTAAATATGTAAAAAACTATTAATATTAAAAAAAAACAAAAAAAAAAAAAGTGGGAAGTGAGAAGTGCTATGTGACACTAAAAAATGAATAAAATTTAAAAGTATAAATTTGAGATTACTTTAAGTTAATATGCAAAATTATTGAAATTTTTGAATAATTGTACGGTTGTGACACAATTAAAAATAAAATAATCTAATTTTCGTAAAAAAAAACACTAATATTAATTCTTTCTTTCAAGCCCTTAACTAATTGATGGAGACGTAGATGAATAAATATGAATAAATTTTATTATATTCATAATTTATTCGTTTAATTAACAAAATTAAAGTATTAGTTGTGATCATTTATTAAATTTAATAAATAAATATAAACAAAAAAATATAACATATTCACAAATTATTTATCGAATATTCTGTTTGTTTATACCTAAGGATATAAACAAATTAAACATGAAATAAACTTTATTATATTTATAATATATTCCTTTAATTAATAAACTCTAAAATATTATTTATAATCGTTTATTTATTAAGTGTAATAAATAAATAAAAATTAAATTATTCATAAACTTTCATCAAATATTCTCTTTATTTGCACCATTATTAGTTCATTAAAAAATAAAACCAAAATCCTTTTTTTTAATTGATTATGTATTTATTTTTTAACTTGTGAAATAATTTTTCTTCTTATATTGAATTATTTATCTTTTATGAAAATAATGCTTGCTTAGAACTAATTAAGAACATCGAGAATACATAAATTAAACTGTTCATCTAAGAAATATTTATGCTTAATATAATTAAAAGTCCCAAAGAAGCTGATTGACACATAGTGAGTTATTAACTTGTCACATGATATTTCATTTTATGGAAAAGTATAAATTAAGTAACTTTGTATACTATCTATTTATCAAATTTTAAATTAAGTAACTTTGCATTCTATTTATCAATTATAATATTTTAATATAAATAAAAGCAATATTAGTTTTTTAAATTAATACGAATATTTATATTATCATTTTCCAGTTTTAAAAAATTAATATTGCCAAATAACTATTTATTAATTTCATTGTTCGAGCATGAAAAAATTTTTAAACATTGAATTTGACAGAGGCCGCGCGAACGCAGGCCCCCACTGCCATAAATTATGACGTACACTCTCCCACTCGGGGAGATGTTAAGCTGGCGCACCCACCCAGTGCAATGTTAGCCACCAACCTAGGCCATGAGCTTTTTTGATCGCCCATACGCCCCGTCCAGGTAAGTAAGTTTAAAAGTTAACCTTGACCTTTATTTTACTGGCTCTTCCTAGTACTCACCTCTCTACGCTCCACGATGTGGGACAACTAACTGATAAACAATAAACCCCACATGTCTCAGTACAGAAAGATGGAATTTTTCATTTTTCTGTTATGTGTTTGCGAGACTTGCCAACTGCTTGCTAGGATTCGTGGGTTTGTTTCCTAATGAAGGGCTTCTGGCGAACTTTTTCTGTAAGATAAAGGCTTTTGGGCTTTTATATGGCTTTTACTGGTTTCATTTAAAGCTTCGTTCTTGTTGAGGAAGTGAATGTTGTTTTTAGGTGGATTGAAAAAATGGTTTTTATTATTATTATTTTTTTTTTGGCAGAGGCTTGGGGGTGTTGAGAATTAATGGGGTTAAAGATGTGATTGCCGTCGCTTCTGGTAAAGGCGTTGTTGGCAAGACTACCACTGCTGGTAATCGATTCTTTTCACATTCATGAGGTACGAGTACCATTTTCTAGGGATATCCAGTCATGTTAGTTGAATTCTCAATCTTTTCTGTTAATTTGGCGGTTGCACAAGCTAACAAGTGTCAATTGAAGGTGGGGCTGCTTGATGCTGATGTGTGTGGACCATCTGTTCCAACCATGATGAACGTCCACCAGAATCCAGAAGTTACTAGGGGTAGTATTTCTGTCTTCCAAGACATAGTCTTTTAGACAATGGTGGAAAATGGTCTATTTGTATATCAACTAATTATCCATTAGTAACAACACTACAACAGGTATTAAGTTGTTAAAAGTGTTATCTGGTAGTGCTTTCATGTGTTTTATTGTAGATTTCAGTTATATATGAAATCTTATATAGCAGGTTGAGTCTTCTGTGATCAACTAATATATGGATGAAGTTTGTTTCACATATTTAGTTTAATAAGCGCGAGATGGATGCATACTTGAGTCACGAATATGGTCTTTACACAAGCTCATAAATCAGCATTAACGACAGAATTTTAGCTGGATGAATTTAATACTATCTCTCTCACTCTTCCCCCAGCACTAATTTTGGAGTTTGAGTTCATCTTCTTGAAATTTTCTTTTACTAGTGTTTTTTTATCATTTGATGCTATTGTTTGACAAGCATCCTCTTGGAATCGCTGCTGATATAGAATTGATGCCACATTTCCAAGGGAACTTTTCTGTCTATTGTTCTACTGGATAGTTTGCAATCATTTACATTTTAATGAGCTATGCTTTAAGGTCTCTCTCTCACAGATACGAAGATGATTCCTATTGAGAACTATTGAGTGAAGCGTATGTCAATGGGATTTATGGTGGATAAGGATGTACAAATTGTGTGGATAGGCTTCATGGTATTTTAACTCATCTAAGTTTCTTGCTGGAACATCCATCTCTTTTATGATAGCTTCTGTTTACAAAGTGGCTTCATTTTAAGAATCCAGTTGTCCTCATGTGTCCCTTAAATTCTGCAGGGCAGAAGAAAGATCATGTTGCCCACTCTTAAGTTTCTCAGTCAACCTTACTTGAGTTGAGTCCCCTATTTTATTGACGTAGATATTGCGTTATAAGTCACAGGACCTTCTTTTGAGAGATTTTCTTGCAACTGGAAATTTGTGCCTCAATCCTTTTCATGTCACTTTTCTTGTTACTAATAACGTTTACAGCCATAAAAAAATCTACAACGAATCTAATATGTATTATCTGTCTAAATAATACATCCTCCCATCTTGAGAATATTGCATGCTAAAATATTTTAAACAATTCTTCTCACATTCCAAATTTACGTTGCGTTTTATAATTGCTTAATTTTCTTTCAGGTGATGAGTGCCTTCAAAACGCCAAGGGAAGTCGATTGAGGAGGTCATGATATTCTTGTGGTGGATATACCCCTAGCACAGGTAATGTACAACTATATCCCAGAAGCTTCAGTTGTCAGGTAGATAATTAACTTTTAATTTCTGTCTTCTTTTTCTTCCTTTTTTCTCCCTTTTGGGAAAAGGGCGTTTGCTGCTATGCTTGAACTGGCATCTTATCAAGTTCAACATGAGCTTGGGCTTGTCATAAAACATAAAGTACCTCTATGGTTTCGTAGGCGTTCCACTGGCATAGTAGTCTCACTGTGCTGTCTGTCAGACCTCATTATGATCACTCAGATCGTTGTGCCTATATTATGCTTTTTAGTTGATTTTCTTTGTGTAGTTGGAATCGTTTTAACATCACAATAACTTGAAAGTTAGTTACTTTGGGGTATCACCTTTTCCCTATCCTTTTTGTGGCGATATTGAAGGCTAAACTTATGTTTTCTTTTTAATTCTCTAAGGTCTAGTTTCAGAAGGATAACTATATCATAAGTACTCTCTCCCCCAAAATCTCTTTCCTTCCCAAGTAGTGAACCAGCAACATTCTGAAAGGGGGACAAAGAAAGGAAATGAAAGGAAACATTTCTTCACTTACTTTTCTGATATATTCTCTTAATTCAAAACCTTATGTTTGATGGTTTTCATTGTTGGCTTATTAGGTGCTTTAATGGTTTCAATCCTGCAAGGTTTTGCATTGATTGATGCTCGTAGGGGAGTTTGAATGTTCTCTAAAGTTCAAGTTCCTGTAAGTTGTAATTTCTGCATGTATTCTCTTATCATGCATGAGAAGCTTGTTGAAAATTATGTATGGTGCCTAAATTTGGTATTGTTATGAATTTTTTTACTATGATTGCCCTCAACTGCACTGATATTATGTATTTGGCTTGTCAATTGTCAGTTAAACTTTCCCTCTCTAGTGGTGGAGTTCAGAAATTTTAACAATTATTACTCAGTAGTTTAAGTTATAAATCTTCATGTGGGGTAGAATAGTCACAGCCTACAGTGAAGGATTTTGGTTTTATGAAATTCTTTCTGGCATGAGTATCATAAAGGAACTGCTGGGAAACAGGCCATGACTGCATATATTTGCTAAGCTTTTTGGGCATGTGGACAGTGTTGTTTCATGTGCCGCTTTCACAGAACTTCCTTTTGGCGCACTGTAATAGTTGTGTATCACTAGGTAACTCTGCCCTACTTACTTTCCCAGAGTTCAAGTTGTTTCTTCTCTCTCTCTCTTGATGGTTTTGAAATTCTGACTGCTTCAAGTGTCAACACCGTGGTGAACCTTGGTTCATTTTTGGTTTGGGTGGAGGTCTTAAAACAGCTGCCGAGATGGGTCTGCAACTTGTTTGGGGGCAAGTTGTTGATTTTTTGATATATTATGATGTATAGCTGATTACTATGATTGTTCTTCTTCAAGTTGTTGAGTTGTTATAGCTCTGAAATTAATCTAAGAATCTTACAATCAAAAACATGGGTTGGGATTTGCAGAATCTTTTTGTACAAATAGGCCAAGTTGTTGATGTATGAAAATTGTTCAAAAAAGCAGTCCACACTTCACTTTGTCTTGAATCTTCCTTCTCACCTAACGTGAGCATATATTCCATAATGTTGACCACTCACTCTGCTACATTTATTCTTACATTCTTTTCTTAAGAATATGCGTTTGAAAATTTAACCTCTATTCATCTAGATTAACGTTGACCATTTTCTTATCTTTTCTTTTTTTTTTTTTAGACAATTACGATCCACTCGAAGCTATGGTTTTATAGAAAAACCATTAGCATATAAATATTTAAGTTAAGGTTTTATGGAAAAAAAACCATTGTATCTATATTTAATGACTAATTTAGAGGAGTAAACGGACAAAAAGAAGTATTCGTTTATTTATATTTATATTTATATTTATTTATTAGATTTAATAAATGATCACAAATAATAATTAATTAAAAAAGATTTATATAAAATTATTAAGGAAAGTTCATAAAATATTTTATTAAAAATTATTAAATAAAAATTAGAATAAAAAATATTATATAAATCAAGTGTATAAAATATAAATAAATTTTAATAAATTTTAATATACTTTTTAAATAAAACATCTTTAATAAAAATTGTGATTAGAATTTTTATCATTTAACAAGTATTTATTAGATTTAAATCAATAATAATTTTTTTTATATTATTAATCTTTATTTTGAATTTTATACATTTATTAATTTAAATTTTTTATTAAATTAATTAAAAAAACTTTATTTAAATTTTGTCCAAGCGTAATAACGCTACGATCGCTTAACAAAATTTGTTGAAACAATTAACAAAACAAATTTTATGTAAACAATTTTATTGATCTTTGATTTGTTTACAACAAATTATCAAAAAGAATTATCATTGGAGTTCACACCACCAAATAACTTTGGGGGGAAACTTTATTCATTCAGTTGAAGAAAGATGAATATACAATTCAAAGAAAGTGACAGCAGGCCGATTCCAGGAATTCCCACACTTGACAACCGAGGCGCTTGAGAGATGACCCATAACGTCAACTTGACTTGGTAATTTGGGAGGAAAGATAATAATAAAAAAAAATCCATTTATTTCTTCCTTTCCTTTTCTTCAAGCTTGTAAATTATAATAATCCATTATTGATTTCTTAACTTCCCTGGTTCATTTTCCTGTTATCATCATCTTCTTCTTTCATTTTTCTTTAACTTGTTTTTACAAATCACTCGGCTGAATGCATCACCAATCCATAGCCTTAAAAACCCCTCAATTCAATTTCCTTCCCCATCTCCACCCTCCTGGCCCTGCCCCTTTTCGCCTCCTCTTTCCCCTCCATCCAAACGCCACCACCAACTCTCCTCGCTCTGCCTGCAGCTGCCGGGCGTTAAACATCTCGGTTCCCAGTCATCCTTCTCGCTCTCTCCCCTCCTCTAACGCCCCCCAACCCGCCTTCGTCAAAACCGTCGATGTCGCCACACTCGGCAACCTCTGCGTTGATATTGTCCTCAATGTTCCCAAATTACCCCCGCCTTCCGCAGACGCTCGCAAAGCCTTCATGGAACAGTTATCTTCTTCTCCTCCCGACAAGGTAAAAATAATGTTACGGGGTTTTTTCAATTTTATCGGGTTTTACGGAAAAAAGCTCTAATTTTTATCTATGGGTTTTTGGGTTACAGCGATATTGGGAAGCTGGTGGAAACTGCAATATGGCTATAGCAGCTGCAAGGCTGGGACTTGACTGTCTTACAATAGGTCATGTTGGTAATGAAATTTATGGGAAGTTTCTTCTTGATGTGCTTCATGAGGAAGGAATTGGTGTGGTTGGAATGTGTGAAGAAACTGATCTTAACAGTCCAAGTGCTTCTTATGAAACCCTCTTGTGCTGGGTGCTTGTTGACCCTTTACAAAAGCATGGTTTTTGCAGGTAAAATAACTTTCTTTTCTTTGTTTTTCAATAAAGGTCACTAATTTTGGTTGAGAAAATGGTTGCTGAACTTTTATTATGTGTTTTTGTTTCATTAGTCGGGCGGATTTCAGTAAGGAGCCTGCTTTTAGCTGGATGAGTACACTTTCTGAAGAAGCAAAGAGGGCAATTAAACGATCGAGAATCCTGTTTTGTAATGGTTATGACTTTGATGAGTTTTCCCCTGGTGTGATAATCTCAGCTGTCGACTATGCTGCTGAAGTTGGTACATTGGTATTTTTTGATCCGGGACCACGTGGGAAGAGTCTTTTACGTGGGTCTATGGAGGAGCAAAAAGCACTTCGGCAGTTCTTGAGGATGAGTGATGTCCTTCTTCTAACTGCTGATGAGGTTCGTTGCGTTGCTTTTCACGGAATGAATGGACATTTTTATTCTATTTTTTCCTTTTTCTCTGTTTGTTGTGTGCTTCTATAACTACTTCCAATGTTTTTATATCTTATGTTGCAAATGACATCGTTGTAATCATTTCAACTCTCTGAAATTGCTTCACTAGATCTGTCTTCAATTGCAGGCTATCCCCTATTCTTTAATGATGCCTTTTCTTGCTGTAATGTTTTTTTTTTAACCTTTTTTTTGTCGTCTGAGAACCTTCAATTTGAACCTGTTAGTCCTGCTTCCTATTACACGTTTTTTTGATTCATTTGCCTGAATCATCTCAATTTTCTTCTGATTGCTGGGAATGGTTGTTCCTTTATTGGTTATTTCTTTAGCCGAACCATCAATTGTAGAATGTTTATCATCTGTCTAAGATGAGAAGTACTGAATTCTATATTTCATTCATTGATATGTAGTGATATTGTCAATATATTTTTTGCCTGAAAATGTAAAAGATTTTTTGGATTATTGGGCATAGATGCTCCTCATCTTTTGAAAAATATTCAATATGCCTGCAACTATGGAGGTTTGGACTCCTTTAGGAAGTATTTGGCCTTTCATGGTATTGGTTCTATCTAGTAGCTTTATTGGCTGTTTACCTAATTAGTTATACTCTCATTAATGAATTTCCAGGCTGAATCATTGACTGGCATAGCAAACCCAATACTAGCAGGGCAAGAGTTGCTGAGGAAGGGAATCCGCACTCAATGGGTGGTTGTGAAGATGGGCCCTAAGGGTTCAATTCTGATAACTACGTCTAGTATTACTTGTGCTCCTGCATTTAAGGTAAGCTATATAACCTTAACTTTGAATATCCAAAACATAATTGTAGTTATAAGTTGAATGTCATTCTATGTCAATTCATTGAATATATTTTCAATTTGCTTTAAGCTACGATGCTTCTTTCCGTTTCTGGAAAAGAAAAATTTTTTGTAGCTCATGGATACTAACAACAACGACAAATTAAGCCTTATATCCCATAACTCTACGGTTGGCTATATGAAAGGCCAAAAAGAGGAATCATATTAAGTCGTAGTTTTGAATCTTCTTGCGCCACTCATTTCTATCAAAAACAATATTTTCATCTACTTCTTTAACCTCATTTCATCTTTTATTACTTGCATCCACATCTTTCATAGTTTACTTCTATAAGCTTTAGTCTCTTCCAAATCTAGAATCTCATTTCTCCTAACTTGTGCATATATAAGTCTACATTTCACATGTCCAAATCATTTCAAACGGCCCCCTCCCATCTTTTCCTGAAATCGAACTACCCTTAATTTTTCTTGAATCTCTTCATTTCTAATTTTATCTCTTCTAGTCTTATCACACATCCATCTAAGTATCCTCATCTCCGCTACGCTCATTTTCTTCTCATGTTGTTTCTTAACGACCCAACACTTTCCCATATAACAATGCTAGACCATGTTTCTCATTAGTAATCTAGACCATGCACTTTCAACATGTCTTTTTGTCAAAATATGAATCTTGTTGTCAGAAAAATTTCCTCATTAGGACATGTGAAGAAGTTGCATCTGACCACTCATGAATTTGGTCATTCTATCCTGTCTGGATTCTTTCCAATATTTATATCTTTGCTTATGCTACTTAAGATTCTAATTTTAATTTTGAAATATGATCAGGTGAAAGTAATAGACACTGTCGGGTGTGGAGATAGTTTTGTTGCTGCTATTGCATTTGGTTTTATACATAATATTCCCTTGGTTTCAACATTAGTGTTTGCAAATGCTGTGGGTGCTGCTACTGCCATGGGTTGTGGCGCTGGTAGGAATGTAGCAACACTGAAGCAAGTAGTAGAACTCATGGAAGCACCCGAACTCAACGAAGATGATGAATTTTGGAATGGGCTACTGGGTGAACATTTGGATTCACAAGAGGTTACTTTTCTGTCAAAAATGGTTTTGAATGGAAGCAACGGCAGGATGAACTGTGTCACATTGCAAAAGGTGGTTTCCGAATTGCTGCCTAAGCTAAAATATAGTCAATTAGAGGGGACACTGTCATCTTGATGGATTGCAATAGAAATTAGATTCTCAGACATAGCAATTCCTTTTTTGAATTTCACCCTGAGTCTGATTTCTCTGGCAATACATAACAATTTTAATTTAAGGTGGGATCAGAATGAAGTAGTTTCTAGAAGATCTTTGAGTGAGAAATAAAGCCATTGCATAAGTTGCTGTTTATGAGCATTTTTGGTGACGAGCATACCTTGATAGATTTGTTCAAGGCTGAGAGCTGCGTTTGTTTTCCATACCAAAGTAGGATGTTCCCTTTGTTTTCCTTTGTTTATTTTATTTATATGTATTTTTTTTTTTTCATAATCTTTTTCATGCAATCTCGAAATGATTGCTTTGTCAAACAGGTACCAGTTTTCTCTTGAGTTTATGTTGTGCTTTCAGTGCAATTTTTACCAAATCTATGAAAGAAAAAAAAATGATTGGGTGGATTTTGCAGTATTAATTGAAGTTGTGATTTTGCTAAGAATTCCACTTGAAAGATGTACAACGTTCAAGTTTTCCTATCAATAAATCTAGAAATGAATATAATTGAGTTGTCCATTTGGTTAAATGTTGACCCCAAGTTTGTTTTCTAAATTTGGTGGTTAGTTTGGTTGGGTTATATAATTTTTTTTAAAAAAGATCTTTTTTAAAAGTTTGGAATTTAAATTTTAATATTTATAAATCTTTTTTTATTTGTGCATTGATATTTCCAGCAATCTTTGTAAAAAAAAAAAGTTTTCCCTTTTGGAAAAATGAGTGCCCATTCTTTTCACGGCAAACATTTAGTGATCGCTAGCTTTTAGCTCGCGCTTGACGTAAGTGTAATCTTTATATTTAAAAATTTATTTTGATAAATAAATTTTTATATTATGATAATAATGATAAATATTAATAATTTAATTTTGATTTTGATATAATATAAATAAAATTTGATATTCTTTTTTTATAATTTTGACTTTAATAATTTCTTATAAAATTTCGGTAGCATTCAATAAAATTTTAGTAACCTTCAATGTTAGTTTGATAACTTATGATATAATTTTGGTAACCATTAATAAAATTTGGTAATCTCTTGATATAATTTTAGTAATTAACCTTTTGATAACTGATGATATAGTTTTAGGAATCATTGATAAATTTGTGTCATCATAAATTTAATAATGGATTTTCGTAGGAAAACACGAGTTTAATTTTAACATAAGATAATTTTATTTTTATATAATAACATTATTGTTTTATTTAAATTTAAAATTTTTTCACTAAATTTTTTTATTAAATAAATTCACGGTAGGCTAATTCTAATATCTAAAGATGAAATTTCTAGATTCATTTTTGCTAGTAACTAAGGCTCAATTCCTAACAATTTAAATATAAAAAAAAAATTATCAATGTTTGAAAATTAAGTTATCATTTATTTTTATTATGTTATCAACAATATACTACTAAACTATCAATGATATACTTCTAAATTATCAATGAAATATTACTAAATTAACATTGATTTATTATTAATTTATGAATGATTTACTACTAAATTATGAATGATTTACTACTAAATTATTGATGATTTATTACTAAGTTACTAATTTTTTTATAAAGTTATAATTGATTTACTATTAATTTACCAATTATCTACTACAAAGTTATTAATGATTAACTAATTTACTACTAAATTTCATTGATTTACAATTAAATTATTAGTAATTTACTATTAAGCTATAAAAATTTACATCTAAATTATTAATTATTAATTATTATGTTATTATGCATTTACTATTATTCTATCATTTATTTACTACTTAGTTTTTAATTATTTACTACAAAATTATCACAGATTTATTACTAAATTAAACATGATTCAATTTATATTAAATTATCCATAACTTACTGTTAAATTATTTAAATATTAAGTTATTGATGATTAACTACTACTAAATTATATTGTTTTACTTTTAAGTTTTAAATGATTAACTATTAAATTATCATTAATTTACTACTAAGTTATTTATGATTTACTAATAAATTTATCAATTAATTACTACTAAACTGAAACCAATTTACTATTAAATTATCATTAATTTACTATTAAGTTATCATTGATTTATTATTAAGTTATCAATAATTAGCTACTAAGTTATCATTTAGTTTTTAGTAACCTATCATTGATTTATTAATATATTGTTATGCATCAACAACTATAAAACATGAAATTTAAAAAGTCTACTAATAATATATGAGATAATTTTCATTTTATATGATAGCGTTATTGTTTTATTCAAGTTTAGAATTTTTTTACTAATTTTTTTATTGAATAGGTTTATGGTAGGTTTATCATAGCCCTCAAAGTGAAAGTTTTTACTTCACTTCCGTTAGTAACTAGAGTTCAATCCTCGACAATTTCAAGTATAAAAAGTTATCAATTATTGACAATTAAGTTATTAATTATTTATTACTAAATTATCAATAATTTACTATTAGATTATCAATTATTTGCTACTAATTTATAAATGATTTATTTTTAAGTTATGAATGATTTTTATTAAATTGTTGATAATTTATCATTAAGTTATTGATAATTATTATAAATTTATAATTGATTTACTACTAATTTATCAATGATTTACTAAAAAGTTATCAATGATTAACTAATTTACTATTAAATTATCACTAATTTACAAGTAAATTATTAGCAATTTACTATTACGTTATTAGTGATTTACTGTTAAATTTTTAATTTACTATTAAATTATCATTGATTTATTATTATATTTTTTATATATTTACTATTATGTTATCATTGATTTACTACATAATTTTTTATTATTTACTACAAAATTATCATCAATTTACCACTAAATTATCTATGATTCACTACCAAGTTATTATAGATTTATATTAAATTATACATAATTTATTATTAACTCATCACTGATTAACTATTATGTTATCGATGATTTACTGCTAAGTTATACTAATTTACTTTTAAGTTTTCAACGATTGACTACTAAATTATTAATTATTTACTACTAATTTACCATTGGTTTATTACTAAATTATTTATAATTTACTATTATCAATTAATTACTATTAAACTAAAACAAATTTACTATTAAATTATTACTAATTTACTATTAAGTTATTATTTATTTATTACTAAGTTATCAATAATTAATTGCTATGTTATCACTTATTTTTATTAAGTTATCCTTGATTTAATACTATATTATTATGCATTTACTACTATATTATAATTAATTTATCATTAAGGTATTATGCATATATTATTATATTATTATTGATTTACTAAAAAGTTATCATTTACTATTAAGTTATCACTAATTTAATACTAAGTTATCGATAATTTTGTACTTATTATATTTAAATTTTCAACAATTAGTTATTAAGTTATTAATTATCTACTAATATGTTATTATTGATTTGTGTATATCATAAAGAAAAAGAAATTAACCATAATGTATGCTAAAGGATGTAATTTGTAAGGTGAAGAAAAAAAGAAGAAAAAGTTCAAGTTTAAATGACTTAAAAAGGATGGGTAGATGCTTAATTTAACATATAATAATAAGTTAAAATCATAACTTTCTATACTAATACAAGTATTAAAACTAAATTCAATAAATATATACAATATATTAAGTCAATATTTCGAAGATATTCTTCAAATTGTTTAGTTCATGGTAAAAAATACATATTAAGATAAGTTTCATTGAAGATTTTATTAAATTATTAATATATGTATTTTCATACTTGTTAGTGAAGTACAATTGCATTTAAAAGATTAAAAATTTTAAAGCATTTTATCACTAATAGAAGTAATAAATTTTGTCTTATGTTTCTATTTTTAATTATACAATTTTGGATAAAAATTTGTTATATATATGATAAAAGTAATGAGAACAAATTTACCAAAGTACAATTGCATTTAAAAGATTAAAAATTTTAAAGTATTCTATCACTAATAGAAGTAATAAACTTTGTCTTATGTTTCTATTTTTAATTATACAATTTTGGATAAAAATTTGCTATATATATGATAAAAGTAATGAGAACAAATTTACCAAAACAATTTATAAAAATTAAACAAACTACAGTTCTAAAAAAATATTAAATTCACAATAATCATTTTTGCATTCTCTATAAAAAAAATTTTCTTCTATTAAACAAAAAGATGCTATATTTTTACTTGTTACTTCATTCTTGTTACCATCATTCAAAATAACTTTTTTGATATTTTGATGTCAATTAATTTTTTCATTTGAAAAGAGTAAAGAATATTTCGCATTCTCTATAAAAAAATTTCTTTTACTAAATGAGAATTGGTATTTTTTTATTGTTATTTCATTTTTATTATCATCAATAAAAATATATTTTTTTATATTTTGATGCCAATCAACTTTTTCATTTGTTAAACGTAAAAAATATTGTAAGGGGTTATAACAATCCAAATAATGTTTAACTCTATGCTATCTTTATGAATAAGTTTGAACTATGATATGATCTCTTTTAAATTAAATGTTTGAATTGTTTCTCTTAACCTATATAGTATCAATTTGATTAACAAATGAACAAGTATAAACTTGTTAATCTATATTAACATTTATGTCATACGAATTTCAAAATTCTTAAAAAGAAATATCCTTTAATTTTTGCAAAACTTGGGTATAAGGATTTTTTTTTCTAAAATTATCATTAGTATCTCCATCATTTTTGTGCTTAAATTTTCATTTGTGAAAAAACTAAGAAATAAAACTATGTAAAAAACTAAGAGTAAAACTAAATGTATATTGAAAAACTGCTTATAAAGAATTATACAAGTACTTTAAATTTATATACAACTAATTAGTGGGTAAACTAAGAAACTAAATCTTCTTAAAATTGATCATATAATTGAGGGATTATCTATTCTAATTTGCTATCATTAATTCTAAGGATACACATACTTAATTCTAGATATACAAATATAAATATATAGATTACAATATAATAATCAGCTGTAAATAAGTGTTTTCTTATACTCTCTCAAGTTTATGAATAGGTATTTTTCATTCCTAGCTTGAAAATAATTTCTTAAAATATTGCACTGCTGAGACATTTAGTCAACTCATTTGCAAGCTAAGCCTTAATTGATACATACGGTGTACAAATCAAACCCACTATCTAGTTTTTTCTTTATGAAATGCTGGTCTATTTTAATGTGTTCTATTCTATTATGTTGTATAGGATTGTGTACAATGCATATTATAGACTTGTTATCACAATAAAGTCTCATTAGTTCATCTCACTTGATCTTCAAGTCTTCTAGGTTAATATTTAACCATAGTAGTTCACAAATTTCTTGAGTCATTGCTTTGAACTCTGCTTTAGTACTTGATCTTGCCACCACATTCTATTTTTTACTCCTCCAAGTCATAAAACTACCATCTAAGAATGTGTAATAGCTTGAGGTAAATCTTCTCTCAGTTACTAAACCTATATAATCTGTATCTGTATATGCCTCTAGAACCTGTTCAAATTTTTTTGGAATAAGTTACATTTCCCAAGATTGGCCTTCAAATAGTACAATACACAGTAAACAGCCTATAAGTGCACTTATTTATGACTATGCATAAATTGA